TGTGATTCTGTGATACCTGATAGAGGGGAGTAAAGAGGATTAAGACAGACTCTTCTGATTGGTACCCAGGGACAGGACAAGAGGAAAAAGGCACAAACTTCAATACAGGAAATGGCACTTAAATACAAAAAGAGGTTTTTCTCTGTGAGAATGACTCAACACTGGAACAGGTTAACCAGAGAGGTTTTGGAGTCTCTGTATTCAAAACTCAACTAGACATGGTCCTGAAGGACTTACTTTAGCTGACTCTGGTTAGAGCAGAGTATTGGGACTTGACAGTCTTCTGACAACCCTTCCATTGTCATCCATTCTGTGATTCTGTGTTTCTAGGACAAACATTACCACCATCTTCCTCCTCTGAAATTTTAGCAGATCCACACAGAAAAAGAGGCAATGATACTAAGCAAAATTAGCCTCTGAAAAATTTGTCTATCCCAGGCTTATTTTGTGTGTTTTGTTTGGGGAAGGGGGAAGTTTTTTGTAGCGGGGAAAGGGACTACAGTGATAGCTCTTGTGGGAAGCTTTGAGAATCTTCCCTGGTTCCAAGAAAGACGCTTTCAGCCCAGGCTGAGCCAATCAGCAATGATGAAAATACCTCTATGAGTTGACATTTATGAAGTGGAAAATTGGTTTGGCAAGAGAATGATCAGGAACATCAACAACAAAACCAACAAGATAAAGAGGAGAGAGGAGGGAGGAATGTGAGAGAAACAGCTACAGACCCAGATCTGTGATGAAGGAGGGGGAAGAGGTGAGCAGAGATTTCCCTTGCAGCCCATGGAAGTTAACGGCAGAAGAAATACCCATACGTAGCCCAGGAAGGAACCCATGCCAGAGAAGAAACCTGTGCCAGAAGGTGACTGTGACTACGTAGAGAGCTCATGGTGGAGCGGAAGACCCCAGAGATGCTAATGCTAGAGAGGGGAAGGAGGTATGCTGGAGTGGAGATCTGTCTCCAGCCCATGGAGGACCCCATGCTGGAGCTGGGGGTTGCACCCGGAAAAGTCTGTGACTCTGTGACAGGGACACATTGGAACACTCTGTTCCTGAACTCTTTAGCCCACAGGAGGGATCCCATGCCAGAGTAGGGGAGAATGCAAGGAGCCGTCTCCCTGAGGAGGAAGGAGGGACAGAAACAATGTGTGACTGCAACTCCCATTCCCTGTCCCCCTGTGCTGCTGGGTGGGGAGGAGATAGAGAAATCAGGAACAAAGTAATTGGAGCCTGGGAAGAAGGGAAGGGAGGGGGGACGGTGTTCTAAAATATTATTATTATGTCTCATTGTCCTTCTCTGATTGATAATAAATTAAATTCAATTTTTCTTCCCCAAGTTTTGCCTGTGATCATAACTGGTGAGTGAGCCCTCCTTGTCATCATTTTGACACATAAGCCATTTGTTTTTTTTTTCCTCTTCCCTTTCACACTGGAGTCGGGGGGGTGGGGTGGGTGAGCAACCGCATGGTCTTAGCTGCCAGCTGCAACTAAACAAACACATTTTGCTCGAGCATGAAAGTATTAGAGATATAAATAATTTTATGTTCAGAATAGTTCTGATATGTAAGAAAAAATTAAACTGAAAGTTAATGTGTTTGAGACAGCTGGTCCTTGGCATTCATAAGACAATATCCTACCTTAAATCCCTAGAATTTTATTAAAAATATATCTGGAATAAAATAATTTGAGTTAAAAGTGTTCTTTCTATCCAAATCAACCCACATACAGTGTTGCCAACTATGGGCAACATTTCAGTAAGAGAATTGTATTATTACCTTAATCTAACATAAAAGGCAAAGCTATTTTTAATTTTTGACAATTGCTTTGTGGTTTGATTATCTAGCAATAAAAGAGCAGAGGATGACAAAATGCAGCATTCAAAAGACATCAAAGAGAGGGTGCCACCTGACACTGAAATGAAAACATAAATGTTTTTGTATGACTATTCATCACCGTGTGGAATAGGTATCACAGTGACTGAAGGGGACAGAACTACCCAACGCAAACTGACTTCCTGAAAAGCCTGAATGTGCAGCGTACCCCGCTTCCTCACAATGTCATCTTCCCACAGACAACTGCATCCTGAAGAACACATTTGATGTAGATTGTAATTCAGGCTATGGGACAATCACTATATGTCAGTTTTTCTTGCGCTCAAATATGTGTGTTGGGTTCAAGACCATTTGATTTTGAACATACAATTAACCAGTTCAGCAGTTCAGAAGTTTCTGTTTATGTTATACATTGTGTCCTTTTGTATCCATTACAGAGAGACAAGCGGTTCTCAGAAAAAACTGGTCATATCCCGAGGTATTTTAGACAGACAAAATAGATCAATCAATTGCACTTGGGTATGACTCTCTCTCCCCAACATTCAGACGACTGCTTCAAATGCAGCCACTGCAAGCTAGGTGAGAAGACTCTTAACACCATGTGCCTGGAAGACAGCTCCAGTTTTTCCTGGCCAGCCACAGAGATTGTGACCCTAACATTCTGCCACTGACCATCACCATCGAAGTGGACCCCTCTGTCTTTATCTCAATTCGCAGCAAACAATGCCCCTCTATCCACTACTTCAGTCTAGTATTTCAATTCCCCCTCCCTTCACCCCTTTTCCACATCTGTTTCTTCTTCAGCTCAACCATTTAAGAACTCATGCATTAATTCTCAAACTGCATTATTAATATTTTTCCCTATAGCCCAGGTCATGATTTCCTTACTTTGCCCATAACAGTTACAGTTTCTTCCCATTCATTTTCTCCTCAAGAACCACTTCAAGGAACATTTTCTGAGTTTCTGATAGTACCAACTTACCTCACTGTCACATGAAATTTAAATTAAAGCATTCATTCTTAAACATCTTCATGGGCTGTAGGTTGCTGTGGGAGACTGGAGCTGCAGGGTCTCCATTGCTGCTATACTCTAAGGACGCCTTAGAGCTTTTCTGAAATCATGGAAGTAACTAAGAGCTTCAGGGGATAGAGCAGGGCCTATCCACTCTTGGATCATTTCCAGCCGTGGCCTCTTTATGCCAGGTCAGCAACTAGAGGTCCCCTTCCCACCTCTTTTTTGTGTATGTTTCTTAACCCTCACTGCCAACTTTAAATATCACTGTTCAGACTAACAGTTTTGCACCTTTTCCCCTTGCTATCCCTTTCACTTGTGTAGATCAATCCTACACTAGCTCACGATTGCTTCACTATCTTCCTGCACATGTAATTAAAAAAAAAAAAAAATCAAGATGTTAATAAATTTCCCTTCCTTCCTGCCTTCTTCCAGCTTGACAGCAGTTAGAGAGCAGTATTAAATCATATTTCCTTGGTGCACCACCTGTGCCTGTCTGTAACCAGGTTTTTTTTTTCCTTATAAAGCTGTTAATGTGAGGTTAGCTTAGAGTCACTGCCTCAGGATAAGAGAACCATGGCATGTCCATTTCCAAGGATTGTTCTGTTTAAACACTATCCAGAGAGGAAGAGGGAAGTACTCATACACTTACCCTAGTGCAAATGCCAAGTGACTGATGTTTCAAATAAAGGCAATTTGCTTGTATTATGCGGCTGTGTTCAGATCCTTGCATTGCAAGGTTATCTTTCATAACATCCTCAATAACAGTCAGACAAGACCTAGCTGCCACAGCTCTGCTTCCTCAGTAATCACTGAAGTGGCAGCTGCTTTGCTGCCCAGCCTACACGAGGAATGTATTCAAACAAGATTTATCTTCTCCTGCATATTATGCTTCACACAAGTCTTTAGGTGCAGGTGGCACTAAGGATGCATAACTTGTCCATCACGCAGGACTTGATCAATCTGCTTGGCACCATCCAGACAAAAATCCTTATTTAATAACTCCTTCCATGGAATAATATATGTCTACCTAATAAAGAACAATAATTTATTTTTCACTTTTAAAGATACAGAAAGCATGACAAAGACTTTCTGAGGCACCAAATGACCCTTAGCACTGGCCCATCCAGAAAGATAACCATGCCAGAACTCCATATTGAGAGTATTCCTCCTCTTCCTGGCCAACAAAAATAGTTCAAAGTGTAAAAAAAATATAACACTTGGGCAGCTCTGAGGAGTTTCAGTAATTGCTGTAGAATAATACTCAAACAACTGTTGGTTTTTTTCATTAGATTAAAATCTGAGCCTTCCCAGAGAAACACTAAAATCCTTCATTAAAATCCTACAGGTTCTAAGCAAGTTCAAATCCCCTCTTTTAGCCCAGTTTCAGGTCCTATTTTAAGGTTTATGTGATTTTTTTCACGTGGTCTACAGGGCAAATAACTACTTGCCTCATTACTGTACAGTAAAAGGGAAGGAAGAGGCACTTTTTGTAACTAAATATATCACTGTGTTGAGAACTTGGAGTAGCACAGCGACACAAACACTGTAAGGTCTCATACAAAAACCTGAGACTGCAAAAGGAACAATACGTTTTGAGGAAGAAACAAAAAAAAAAAAAGAAATCTGTTGAAGGAGAGAACTGCAGAATTCCTATGAGCATTTATTCTGGAAGTATATTATTTACTGAGATAATAGAAGAGAACAGGGTTTTAAAAGCTTTGGCCTGGACCAAGTTTTTTGAAATCACTTTACTATGAAATTACTGTTTTCTCCTCTCATGATTTTGGAAACAATAGTGACTTTGGAGCAATTTCACCACAGTCCGTGTATGGATCCTTTCGACAAACCACTGGCATTTTATTCCCTGATTTTATACACCTGTAGAGTGTGGTGAGGAAAGGGGGTTTATTTGACTATGTGAAAACAGTGTGGCAACAGATAAACTCGTATTTGGGACTGGGATCGCTTTTTCAGTTGAGCCAAGTAAGTTCCACTTGTTTTATTACTAATGTATTTCTTAAGTTTGTGGTGGGGTGGACAAAGAGACTGTGTGATGTTACAGCATAATGAGAAATTTCTACTGCCCTGGATCTCTTGAACATGCTTTCTCCAACTAGGTGTTTGAATTCTCAGCTCATATTTAGTTAACAAAGCTTTTCAGGAACAACAAAAATAGTTTCTTAGTTATGTGTATAAGCATTACTTCACAGATCCTTACCCTCTCCAGCAGCCACGCTGATAAATTTAAGACTGTTATTTATACCCAGTGGGATGGTGTCTTAGCCCAGCTTCAGTATGAGGTGGAAGTAGTCGCTTGCTTTCTTTTGTGTAACATTAAAGTGTGTGGAAAGGAAAAAAAGAAGATGTAAAGAGTTTTGGGAGAAACTGGTTCCCATGGAAAGACAGGGCACATCTTTTATATTTAGAAATGGAATTCTTCTGAATGTGGTCTTTATGAGTATGGACTGTCTTTCCCAGCTTCCGTGTAATGATGTGAAAGTTGGGGCAATGAGTGAGTTTGTTGGGTTGATTTTATTGTCGTAAAACATTCAGTTGCATACCATTACCTGAACACGTATACTCCCCAGACAGGCATGGAACCCTCATAGGTGCTAACTCACATTTGCAAGGCCCACGCAACTGTACAGCTGCTTTTAAAACTTTAAGGCAACTTACATGCCTATTTTGTGGTACATGAATGCAGCTCTTGTTCCTGTGGCAGTAGAGAATCCAAAGATACTATTTTGAAAATATCACTTGCAAAAGTAGGACAGCAAGATACTGACAGCTTCCATCAGCTCAACTCCAATCTACACTAATAAACTTGCCAGTTACCAGTGCAAAAGGTATTCTACTATGAACAATCAATCAACAAAAGGTGTTGGTGGGTGAAAGTCTAAGTAATGTTATTGCCTTTTCAGATAAACACAGCAGCTCTAGTGTGAAGTTCAGTTTCTACACAGAAAGTATCCTGTAGGCTTCTTAAAACAAACTGAATTTCAGACCTGTTATACCAGCAATTGCTGTGTCATTATTCTAGTTCTTCAAGAAAGAGGGGGAAAAAAAGTCTTTCCCCAAACAGTAGGCTATAGAAACTATTCATTTAAGCAAAGACAAGATTTTCCAGGCTTCTAGAATGCTGGTATTCTGATTCTTTTCAGTGCTTTTTTTTTTTTTTTTTTTTTTTCCTCCCATTTTAGCAATATTATTTTGTATCTGCAAGTAATTCCACTCACTGGAACATCACAGAGTGAAGTAACAAACCATCTTATCTCCCTATGTGCTGGTTAAGCCTTTTAGCCTCATCAGGTAAAAGATTTCTGGGTGGTAATAAAAAAGGAATTTTTTTTAATATGTATCATGTTACAAGCATATAAGGCTACCCTTGAAGTAAATGTTCTTCTTAGTATGTAAATTGTTATGAATTCAAAATTAATATGATCATTTGTGTTGTATTCTTAAAAAATCCCTTCCTCATTTCAAGGTCCCTCATTTAAATGAATTCACTTTATATATAAAAGTTCAGGTAAAAACAAGATTAGGAGCCCAAGAGATTAGAAGCTCCAATTAAAATCCCACCCTTATACTCCCTTTCTGTCTTTTATCCGCTCTTTGGGAAACCAGAGGAAGAAATAAACACAGAAATACACTCAGCTGTCAGTGACCAGGTGGGACTGGACTATATCTGAACTGTAGATGATTTAGCTCTCAGAAAAGTATGCATAAAACAAAGTCATCCCAAAATTATTCTTCTTTTTCAGACAGTCAAGAAGAATCTGCCCCAGAAATCATTGTGCTTAAATCAAAGATACCCAAACAATGTGGCAACAAAGTGAACATGGCTTGTTTGGCAAGGACTTTCTACCCTAAGAACATCAGCCTTGATGTGGCCAAGGGTGACATTGTATACAATCTGAAGGCACCTCTTGTAACATCTGAGGGGGTGTATAGTACCATGAAGGTAGTTGAACTGGAACCAGATGCAGAGGATACCTGCAAGGACATGCACAAGAGGAACAAGACCAAAGCCAGCAGAATTCTGCCAGGTACAGTGTTGTGCTCCAAACACAATATGGGTCTGAGACATACATCTTCCAAGATTTTTCCTTGCTCTTTGAGAACCTAACAGGAACAAGTTAGTACAATCAGAAAGATGTTTAGACACTTAGTTAGGTGAAGATGAGAGATTCAAAAGCACCTACCATACATGATCTTAATTCAACTATTTAAGCACCTAGAGTTTTCTTAAAAAAAAAAACAAAAAACAAACAAAAAAAACCCCCAACCTCCCCCTCTAAAAAAAACAACCCTCTAATATATTCTAGTCTACCTTTATCTAAGGCAAAATAGTTCAAGGAACTTGAATATACATACCTGCTAAAAGAAAGTTTCAAATAACTTTTATGAAAACACAAAATAAAAAAGGACATGGGGTTTTTTTCCCCTAATCTTTTGGTCATTTTTTGGTCATTTTCAAAATTGTTCTTTTCTTCTGCTAAAGTTAATTTCAAAAGGGAGAAAAGAAAATAAAAGAAAAGAAAACAAAACAAAAAACCCAAACCCCCCCAAATCCAACCTTGCAAAACCTGGGATTTTATTCTACAATCACATGTAAATCTGATTTTTCTCTTCAAGTTAATCTCAGAATTAATGACCTGTCATCTGACTCTCCAATACTGCTTATGTACTGCTGGGGAAAGAGCTATAGGTATGTTTTGTATATATTTTGTTTTATATGGTTTGGATACAATTTATGTCTCTTAATCATTCAACAGAAGAGAAAAATGAAGAACTGGAAACAGTTAATGCTTGCAACCTTACAGATGCCCCTACAAAAGGTTAGTTGCCTAAAGGAACAATAGAGTATGGTTACTTTATTGGTGATTCAGTAACAATGCGTTGTCTTTGGCACAGAAATGTCTGAATTGTAGATACTTATTAAGCAATAAGCTACGCTTTTTGTGGACTCAGTAGCAAAACATGAAAGATTGCTTTCTCTGGTGCAGAAATGTCAGAATTGGAAACACTTATTGAGAAATAACCTGCTGTTTCAGGTTGATAAACTAAATAGCTGGCGTATTTCCATGGGATAAAACCAATGGGAAGAAAATTCCTTACCTGGCAGATATCTCCTCTCTTCCCTGTACTTGATACATTCCTCTGTCATCTTTTTCTTTGCTTCTGCTTACCTCACCCTCCTGTGATGTATGGTTTTTCTTTCTTTTTTTTGTTTTTTGTTTTCTTTTGGCAGGGGGCTTGGGAGGGTTGGTAATAATACCAAGATCACACTCTCTTCCCTCTTCTTTTTAAAGGAGATGCCAAGGAGAAAGTGAATATGCTGTTCATGGCTGTTTTGGGTTTGAGAGTCCTGCTGGCAAAAAGCATCGCCTTCAACACAATCATGAGTATCAAGCTGTTTCTGTTCTGAGGTAGGAAACACGCAAGTCCCTGGGAATGCAGGAGGCAAGTTGAAGGAGTGACCAGTTGGATTTGCATCCTTCTGTAACCCCACAAGGAGTGACATCAGTTCAGTTGTTCCCATTTCAAGTGGATAAATTAATGCAAACCCCAATGTGCACCTCATCCCCAAATTGCCTTTGCACCAGGCTAGTTCAGAGCATCTCAGGTTCCATCAGAAATCTACTGGTTGTTTCAAGTAGCAGAGCACAACATCTGGATAAAAGTCCAGATCAGCAAGAACTATAAAGGGACAATCTCAAAAGCCAATAAATGTGAAAAAGGGAATGCAAAAAGGAGGCGGAAGAATTCTGAAGATGAGGTAGCCAAAATGACAAAAATAAAAATAAAAATTGTCCAACTCATTTCAGATTAACTCTACATCACTGCATTAGCTGTGAATAAGAATTTAAAACAAACATTTTTTGGTTTGAGCCAGCAATGGACTGAAGAGTGAGCAGGAAAGAACACACAGCAGGATAATTTAAACACCACGGATCAGCTTTGCTACCAACAAACATCTAAAGAACCAACAAACCCCCCAGTTTCTGTAGATCTGAGTCCATTTACTTCATCTAGGTGCACTTCAGTTTACATCATTTGGAAGCTTTCTTAGACAGCTAATACTGCTGAACTCTTGTCTAGCTTAATGACATTAATTGTTAGAGCATTTTTTGTTATTTCTTACTTCCATAAGAAATTTCCCTCATCCCTCTGCTAAGCAGGAATAGCTAGCTCTCCTACTCCTGCATTCATTGCTTTGATGTATCCAAATTGCTCAGATAGTTTTGAAAACTTAAAATTGAACTTTATACTTACTATGCTTTAAAAATACCATCTCTGGTTGTATTACATTATTGTCTACCAAAGTAATGCTTTTCTACTTAGGGATCCCAGGCACAGAGTTGTATTGTAGTTTTAATTTTACAAGTTTTTATTAGTGGCAATTTTCTAGTGCAGATAACTAGATCTCCACTGAACCTGAAGGAATTCACTTCAGACAGGTATACAGTAGTGTTTTCATTGCTATCTCTTCTTCAGAACATTTTTCTCTTTTCTTAAGCATGTGGTACCTGCATTTTAGATTTCCTTAATATACAACAAAATAAAGTTTTAATATGCTCGGTTTGCACTGTGCCCTTTCTTCCTACAGGCTGCCCAGGGAGGTGGTGGAATCACCTTCCCAGGTGGTATTTAAAAGATGAATAGACAAGGTGCTTAGGGACATGGTTTAGAGGTGGAATTAGTAGTGTTATGTTTATGGTTGGACTCAGTGATCTTAAAGTTATTTTCTAACCCCTATGATTCTGTGAATCTGAAACCTGTGTGGAAATTGTTGAAATTCCACCGCCCTATCCAGTGACCACTGACAAATAGAAAACTGCCTATTACAGCCTAGATCTCCTTTATATTAAATTTGTCTTTCTTGGGTTTTCCACAGAGAAAGATGAGACTCCTTGGCACATTTAAGAGACTTCAGGAGGGCTATGAATTCTGGCCCTTGCAGGTTTAAAGGAATTTTAATTATTTATGACTTTTTCAAATTAATCAGGCTCAAAATTGTGGATCACAACAAAAAGAGAGGATTCTAAAGACAAAACAGTTAAAAGACAAGTGGTAATATGAGCAGTAATGTGCAGCTCTCAGAAGGCGAGAGACCAGGCTGCTGATTTTCTACTTATCGATACCAGGAAGGGGCCAACAGGAAACATTGTGGGATGTTTGAAAGATAAGCTAGTCGTTTGCTTGGCAGTCAAAAAAAATCCAACACTGACTTTTGTCTCACAATCTGCAAGCTGCTGCCTGTGTGAAGCAGGATACTGTGGTTAAAATGCATGACTAAATCACACTATGCAAGACGAATTCCGCTTTGCTTTTACAAACACATTAACCACTTCCTGGGAGGCAGGGCGCACAATGTTTTTCAAATGCTGACTGAACTACTGCTGTCTCCAAAACATCCCTCATGGTAAAATCTCTTTAACTAACCTTGACAAGTTTAGTCATTCAAACCCTCACTCCTGTCAAGAAGATGTGACATTTCTGTGGTGAAACCACTGTCTCTAGGTCCTGTAGCTCTGTGGTTAGGTCCTAGGAGCACACGCTTAGTGTGGAAACCATGGTAGTCATGTTTTTATTTCCTAGGCATCCCAAGGAACAGATTAACATGTGGAGCCTGTTAGACTATATATGTCCCTTGAAGCTGCCTCCTTCCTGTCCCAGTTAAGCAAGTCATTTTCCACTTGTGCAGTCTTAGTGACTCAGCCACACAGCCAGACCAGGCTGCTCTCACAACACCTAGCTTCTACTGTATTGCTTCCTTTCCACTCTGGCTGCTGACCCTGAGTTAATTTCCCTGTAGGTAGTGCCCAGCACTCTGGTCCCCTTCCATCCTCAAGGATCCTCAGCAGCTCTTTAACATCCTCCAGCAAGTGGGGTAGCCCCAGACAAAACTGGTCCATATGACATAGAGCCTGCAGAAGCAGAGAGCTGCCCTGCAGCTTCCCTGAGCTGTCACTAGAGCGCCAGGAACTATGCACCAGGTTCTTTATATAGTGCAGATTTTACATACCTCATCCCAAAGGCATCTCCTCATGGCTCCTTCTCACATGGACAAATACTGATCCTTTTTTGCTTCTGTGGGGCAGGTGCACATTCAGAGGGTTGTGGGCTGAAAGATGCAGCTAAAAACATCTGCCCATAGGAGCTATCTTTGAGTGGTAGGCAGTATTCTCAAAGGGGCACTTCCTTCCAAGCCTCTCCATGTTGGCATTGATTTGCTTTAACAGAAAACCTTGCCTTCTGAATATGGAAGGAAGGACATAAGGTTTCAACTCATCACATATATCCACTCCTCCTCCTGTTAGTCCAACAGGAAAACAATCTATAAGTGCAATAATATGCCAGATGAGGAAACATAACGAGTGAGTAGGAAAATGTATGCAGAGGAATCCTAGCCTTTGTCCCAGCTCAAAAAGGTACCTAGGCTGGAAATTTATCTTGACCTTAGCAGTGGCCTTTTTGCAAGACCTTCTGAAACTTGTGCATACTGTAAGCAACAAACATCAGAGTTCAGCAACAGCTGCCAACTTGTTTGCTTTCCTTTGAACCTCCAGGGACCAGACATCTCTCAAGAGAGTGAAAGAACGGCAGAGCAGCTTCTGGGATGGGACTGGCATTCTGGGACTGACCTGTGTCTGTGGGGTGACCCTAGAGACCTGGGAGAAAAGAGTACACAGAGGTACCTCACAGAGGAGAAATGTAAACAGATATTTAAGAGAAAAGAACTCCAGTAGTACTTTTATGGGCTGGAAGGAAAGGATTTGGACATGTGTTGGTAGCGGGTTGTATCTCAGGAGGTGTTACATTTACTACTTATTTGATAGATGAGCCTCAACAGCTGCTGTGTTCTGTGGAGAAGGCTAGCTTGTTTCTCAGTTTGCCTGTGCATTTCCACACAGGTCTGTCAGGAAAGAATAGCTCCAGATAACTCCAGCTTAGGCCAAGTAGCAGGAGGTATAGGTGATCCTCTCTGCCCCCAGGGGAAAACATGAGCCTTGAGCAGAAAATGGCAAAGGCAGACCAAGACAGAGAACTCTGGGCCTCAAACAAGTAGAAGAATTCTTGTTATTTCTACTGGAGCTGGAGTGAGGACAAATCTGGAAAGGTCAGGGGTATAGTGTGTGGAGGTGAAGTGAGGTATCTAGGGGCATGAGACCTGCTATCAGAGCAGGGTTTCTTCTTCAGCACTGAGCACTTTTCTCCTGGGGTCATCTGTGTATATTGTCTGGGAAATTAGCATTCACTAAGCATTTCTGTTTTAGCCAATTCACCTCCAGTTCCAGAGACAATTCCCAGGGATGGAAGAGTGAACCCTTTCAAACTCATCCCTCACAGAAAACATGTTTGCCTTATCCAGCTCTGAGTGCAGCTGGACCCCTGCCCAGCCCCTCTGAGATGTTTGGCCTTGCAGGCATGGGGAAGGTGCAGCCTAGTAGGGAAGAAAGGAAGAAGGGCAGATGTAAAGTTGCCTGTCAAAACAGAAGCTCTACTTGAGCAGGGTTCAGATAATTCTGCAGCTCCCTGACTCTGCTGCTCTTTTGGAATAGACCCCTGGATCCACATCTCCTGCTGA